GGAAGGCATCTAATAAAGAACTTTGCATATGCAAATTTCAGGTTAGGTTCGTATAAAGTTCTCCACCAAAAGTTCCACCCAAAATGAAACATAAACGTTATGCAGATAATCTTGACTCCCTAATATGTCACCGTAATAAATCCTGAAATTTTGCATGCGGCAGTTAACCTAAATACGTTACACAAGATGGCGTTCGAGCCTAGAAAATGTCAGAGTTAATTTATTTTATTCGAAAATATATGTCAAATCAATTTTCCATGTATCTTCAAAGAACGTTCCATCAGTTAAATTTCAAAGTTCATAATTTGACATTATTCGCTGGATTATCGTTCGAAAACGGGAAATTGGAATGTAGTTATTGGAGAAATAATTCGAGGGTCTCTCGAAGCTACCTTTGTCTCTCGTGCAGCCCGATAAACTATCTACGAGTATCAATTAAACTCTCATGCGATCTACGTGAGATAAGGTGAGCGAAACAACCTCTATTCATCCGTTAACTACGAGCATAATCGACTGTTAACCGTGGTTATCGCCAGTGGGCTCGAACTCTGCATTTAGCGACCAAATGCAGTCCCTGGCGAATTACTACGAAAATTTTATTGCCATTATGGCATATTTGGAAATCTTGGGTCATGCAAAATAATTACTGAATACGATGACGATTGTACATAGTAATTTATTACTATCGATAGTAAATTGTGTCTCAATAATCCACATTTTGCATCTCAAAATTTCTATCAAAAGTTCTAATCAAAATTTCTAAGAAAGTTCTAAAATTTCTAATCAAAATTTCTAAGAAAGTTCTAAAATTTCTAATGAAAATTTCTAAGAAAGTTCTAAAATTTCTAATCAAAATTTCTAAGAAAGTTCTAAAATTTCTAATCAAAAATTCTAAGAAAGATCTAAAACTTCTAATGAAAATTTCTAATCAAAAGTTATATGTCCGTAAACTTTCTTATAATTAAAATTGAAAAGAACCAAGAAGCTTTTTTAATTAAAAAAATAATTGAATGAAAAATGTTGATAAATATTACCGTATAGACGACCGTAGATTAGAGAGTCAATATTGTGCTACAAATTTATACCGAGTTTGTACACGAGCTTTCACAACCGTAACCGAACATGAAATATGCAAATCCATCGACCGACACTTTCTGTAGAAAACTTTGTTCGCCGGTCAAAGTAAGGAATCTCCGGCTTATATTAGCTGAAGTTGAATCGCGTTTTCATAGCATTGGCTGCATTTTTCTTTTGTGTTTTCATGCGACGGAGAGGTTCAATGCTTCGAAAATATCTTCCAAAAATATACCAGATATTGAAAAATAAGATGCATATTGAAAATTTCTATTTTGATAAGAAAATTGATTTTTTATTTTACTCTTCTTTTCATATTTGTTATTAAAAAAATATTAAAATATAATTTAGTAAGGAATTACAATATTAGAAGAGAGTTTTAATACCAACTTCGCGCCTCCGGCAATATAACGAGAGTAAAAATTTCTTTCTTGCTAAAAAAATTTATTCTTCATTCAATTTACTCTTCCTGTCAATATTTGTTATTAAAAAAATATTCAAATATAATTTAATAAGGTATAGTATCACAAGTTTCCTCCGGCAATATAACGAGAGAGTAAAATTTTCTTTCTTGCTAAAAAAATTTATTCTTTATTATCCCACTCTTCTTGTCAATATTTGTTACTAAAAAAATATTCAAATATAATTTGATTAGGTATAGTATCACAAGTTTCCTCCGGCAATATAACGAGAGAGTAAAAATTTCTTTCTTGCTAAAAAAATTTATTTTTCACTATCCCACTCTTCTTGTCAATAATTGTTACTAAAAAATATTAAAATATAATTTGATAAGGTATAGTATCACAAGTTTCCTCCGGCAATATAACGAGAGAGTAAAATTTTCTTTCTTGCTAAAAAAATTTATTCTTGATTACCCTGCTGTTGTCAATATTTGTTATTAAAAAAGTATTAAAATATTACTTAATAAGGTATCACGAGTTAACAATATTAAAACAGAGTTTTGATACCAACTCTCCTCCGGCAATATAACGAGACACAACATCAACCCACAGTGTCTCCATTAACATAATTGACAAATTCTTCCAAATCGAGTTACAGGGCTTCCACAATTTTTTTTCATCCCCAATTAAAGTTTCCCCAGAGGTTTTAATAATGCAAAACAGTCTGTCAGTTAAGGAAGTTTTTCACGAGCACAACGAAAAATAAGAAAGGTGAAATTTTCAAGCTCGTTTTAACAGGATACCATGGACTGTAATGCAACCGCTAATGAGAAATGTTCATCCTTCGAGAAATGTTACTTCTCCGTGTAACGTTACCTTGAAAATTATTTCCACGGTAATACGCGCATTAACGAGTAAAGTGGAATTAAAGCGAAATATAATTAATCCGTGGAGTCGGACAGGTGGCGATGTAAGTGGAATAAGGAGAAACAGGTGGTTGGTGGTCAGACACGTTTACGTTTCGGTGTAATTTCCGGGCTGCGCAGTGTTCCGAAATGTAACTGAAACCTTTGTTTAATAACGATGCAATATTTGTATAGGAGCAAATATTTTTTATTTTGATATGATGGTGATTTGGGTCGGTGGACAGATTACTTGTTTACCGGGGCACTGTGCAGGGATGTACGGGGCTGAGGTGTTAAGGAGGTGGAGATTGAACATTTTTTTATTTGGGTGACTGGGGGTTTAGGAATTTGAGGAGTTAGAGATTTGGGGATTTGAGTATTTGGGAATTTTTTAATTTAGGGGTGTAGATAGTAAGGAATTTAGAAATTTGGTAATTTAGGGACTTGGACGTTTAGAAATCTAGAAATCTAAGAATCTAAGAATCTAAGAATCTAGAAATGTAGGAATCTAGAAATGTAGGAATCTAGGAATGTAGGAATCTAGGAATGTAGGAATCTAGGAATGTAGGAATCTAGGAATGTAGGAATCTAGGAATGTAGGAATCTAGGAATGTAGGAATCTAGGAATGTAGAAATGCAGGAATGTTGGAATCTAAGAAGGTTGAAATCTAGGAATGTAGAAATCTAGGAATGTTGGAATCTAGCAACGTTGGAATCTAAGAAGGTTGAAATCTAGGAACCTAGAAATCTAGTAATTTAAAAATCTAAAAATCTAAACATTTAAAAATCTAAAAATCCAACCACCTAAGAATCTAAAAATCTGAGAATCCAAAAATCTAAAAATGTAGGAACGCAGAAAAATATCACATTTCAATATTAAAAAATGTAGAGGTCTCCAGAGGAACTGTATCACCACGAGAAAATGTCATAAACTGAGACGAGTTAATATCGTCGAGACTCTTTGACGATAATTAACGCGGTAATGGCGGCTGACAAAAGGAAACACAGAGCCAACTTTGCGCAACCAGATTGTAGCATTGCACGTCAGTTTTCTTTGTGACTGCGATGGTATTAAGGAGATATTGTTTGCGAGGTCGCAGGTGTACCAGCATAAAATAATTGTTTCTCCTGTCACTTAAAAAGCGGAAGATTCCTTTTGTAAGACTAGTTTCAAGGAAATGTCGCGTGAAATTTATGTACCTGTTTGATGGTTATACATTTTATGAAATCTAACTTCATATTTCTCTGACAGATACTTCATACTTCTCTAAGAAAATTTGTAGAATTATATTTAGTAATCCTAATTATTAAAACCAACTAGTTTGGTTAATTTATTTATTTGAATTTATAGTCGATTAATTGTATTGTTTTCCGTTTGTTTCAGGTGAGTTTTTTGGACATACTTTGGGACATTAGTAAGTTAATTTCTGTTTAATATATTGCATGATTCATTTTGTCACTGCGCTATTCGAAAACAGTCACTAATATGCCATCTGTCGACTAAGAACCAAACTATTGGAATACAATGTTGTATTTATAAAATAAGAGACTTCAAACCTTCATTAGGTTCAGCAAAACGTCTAATGTGATCTTAAATTCTAATAAAATTATAAAATTGCATGAAAAGAAAATTAGAGAACTGTTATACCATGTACGTCAAGAAGTACTGTAATCATCTAGTGATGCAAGCATGGAATTAGCTAGAGCCAAATTTTACTAGTTTCTTTAATATTGCCAAACCTACTCATAACACGATATTTCATAGTCATTATATGTATATTTTAATTTATATCTCACTCCTTCACTTAACATCGGTATGTAAAGAAGAGACCTAAATTACCGACGGTGTAAGTGTATGTACCGACGGTTTTATTCACGACCGGTAAGTAGACCAACTGCAGGTGAATCTGTGTACGTGACCTGCATTACCGACGCAGGATAACCTCTCTTTTACCGTCTATCAATAATGCAGATCGATTGCTAGAACTGTACCAAATGTAGATATACGTCGATAAATATGATTCTTCTTCATGTTACTTCTCTCTATAAGATGGCGCCAGCGATCCACTTTCCAAAGCGCGATTATATAAAATTGAAGCTAACAAAAATACGGGTATTTCTAATTGTACCGTTGTTTGTCACATAATTAAAGTCATTAACCAATTTATAAAGCAATTACTAGACCACGTTCCCTATCTATGCTAACATTTTATTGATCGCACCTTACGAACCTCCTGTCCATATCTCCATTCCATCAGCCGGAAAGAATTCCCGACACAAGATACGACCGTCAAGAGTTACCTGAATCTAGCAACGCGACCATCGAATTTGCTTCTCGTCCTTCGTTCAGAGGGGGCGAAACCCAGTTTCGAGATCATGACCTGATTCGTTTAATTTGTGTGACGCGGAAGGATCTTTGCTGACGCAATTCCACCCCACGTGAGCTTCATATTGACCAATCGGCTTGAAAAACTACCATTGTTCCCTATGTCTTAATGCATCCCGAATGCAATAAAGCTTACCCATTGACGCTCCCACTCTCAAATTAAATAGACAAACTTATCAGATATATCTTTATTACCATGTACAGAATTTTAAAAAACAGGATTTATTCTTCAGCTCAGTACTTTCCAATGATATTCCCCTGGCCGAGACCAGACGTGTACCCATAACCAGCCCCATATCCAGACGCCAGGTTGCCAGTCAGACCCGTTCCATAGGACTCCAGACCACTTCCAAGCATCCATCCCATTCCGGAGCCGTACCCAGTGCTGAATCCACCTTCGCCAACGGACCCCAGTCCAGAGTTGAGTCCCGAATTATATCCAGAGTTCAGATCTACAGATCTGTAATTTAGGAGTGAGCCATGTACCATACCGGACCCAACGGAGGGTAGTCCACTGAAGGCAGGACCATTTGTGGAACTAACTGCGCCTCCAGACGTCAGTCCTTGACCGATGCCAGAATGTAGACCCGTCCCAGGAACGAATCCCGATCCCAGACCTGCGCTGAGTCCACTGGAGTGGACTGACCCCAGACTGCTAGGTGCAAAGGTGCCCAGGTTGTTGCCACCAGACAGCAACATGGGTTGAGACGCTGTCTGCTGGATGATAGGTGGAGAAATTGGTGGTCTCACTGATTGCGAGACAGGCTGGGACACTCGAAATTGAAACTCAGGCGATTGTCTGACATAGTAAGGGCCAGACACGGGTTTGGACGGCGGATACTGTTGATGCACGAGCATCGGGACCTGCTGCGCCACGGATTGAACGTTAGCAGTGCTCAACGCTCCAGAAATTCCTCCAGCAAGACCCGTCGAGAGCCCTCCATTTATTCCTGCACCGATATTTGAACCGTATCCTCCAGTAAGCCCGGAAATTCCGTTCGAGAGTCCTCCAGATGCTCCGATGGACAGCGCACTCGTGTATCCTCCAGAAATTCCAGCTGATTCGAGACTGTTGAGGTCCAGTCCGAACGATGATCCTCCCAGTCCTCCCGAACCCAACAGCACCCCCCGTTTCGCCTTGTGCTGCTTTTGTGGACTCGCTGCGGACGCGAATACCGCCGTTGCCAAAAGGTAGAGCTACGAAATTGAGTTTCGGATATTAGCAGGCGGGCTTGTGTGTGTTAAGTGGAATTACGGGGAAACGTGACCTTGCGTTGGACGGACAAATTGGAACATTGTTGTTAAAGTGGTTTGAGAGGGCTGGCGGGAAAGATAAATATTAGTCTCTTTAAAAAACACTTCGGTTGGTCCAGCGAATGTTGACGTACTGAGAAACGTTCGATGTGGCGGTAAATGGAGACGATTCAAGGTTCGAAATACTTGAAATTCTGTTATAGTATTTTTAGATTGTAACGGAGCTGAGTTAATGACTGAAAGTCATCTAACATTGCGGTAACCCTTAAGGAAAGTTCAAAATCTCTTATTAAATGTGAATAATTTTTCAAGCAAATTTATACTTGCCAATACGTGCTTAATACTTGACGACCAATACTTGCTTAATTACCAAAGAACCTCCCCCTAAATTTAACGCAGTTCTCACCTCTCCTCAATTCAGCATAAAATTGAGTTTCAACATTACACTTTCCCCAAAACATCCCAAGAAACTTCACTTTAACTCCACATTCCCTAACTCCGTTCCCAACCCTGTTGCATTTAAAAAACGCAGACTCCCTAACTCACGACCCCAAATCACAATCTCACAATTCCAAATCGACACTGTATCACGTTGATCTACTTACTCCCAAGATCCTCATTGTTGCCTGTCTTCCGACTTGAACTAAGAGTGTGCCATCCTCAGTTTCGCAGGCCGGTTATATACACCGAGTCCTAGATGACTTTCACTGAATGATAGTACACGCCCTGTGTGGATGGCCTGCTTCCGATTTTTCATCGACAGGCTTCATTCGATCCCGCTTCATCAGTCCGTGATGTAACCGCAATCGATGGAAATAGGCCGATTCCGCGTTCTAGGGCATGTACATCTTGGCACATGGACATGTGATGAGTTGCAGCGAGTTTCATGGTGGTCGCGTGTCGTACGAGTGGTCTTGCGATTTGACAGAGTAGGCTGTTGGGAATTATGATGTATAGCGGCGTGTTGTGCTGATGGGTGGTTTTGGGTTGGGTTGTTTTAGGGATGTACTGTATTAAGGGTAAATTTTATTAGGGATGCATAGTATTAGGGGTGTATTGTATTAGGGATGTATTGTATGGCGCGTGTACCGTATTAGGGGTAAATTATATTAGGCATGCATTGTATTGGGGGAGTATTGTATTGGGGGTGTACTGTATTAGAGGTAAATTTTATTTAGAACGCATCGTATTGGGGGTGCATTGTATGGGGGGTGTATTGTATTTGGGATGTACTGTATTAGGAATAAATTTTATTTAGAACGCATCGTATTGGAGGTGTATTGTATTTGGGATGTACTGTATTAGGGATAAATTTTATTTAGAACGCATTGTATTGGGGGTGTATTGTATTTGCGATGTACTGTGATAGGGATAAATTTTATTTAGGATGCATCGTATTGGGGGTGCATTGTATCGAGGGTGTATTGTATTTGGTATGTACTGTATTAGGGGTAAATTTTATATAGAACGCACCGTATTGGGGGTGCATTGTATGGGGGGTGTATTGTATTGGGGATGTACTGTATTAGGGTTAAATTTTATTAGGGATGCACTATACTGGGAGTGCATTGTATTGGGGATGCATTGTTACTGGAATTGTATTGCATTAGAGGTGCATTATATTAGGGATGCATCGTATTAGGGACTCATTGTATTAAGAGCGTCTTGAATTAGGGGTGCATTATATTCGGGACGCGTTACATTACGGCTATGTTGTATTAGGGGTGGATCGTACTAGGTGCACACTGTATTAGGAGTGCGGTGAATTGGGGGTGCGTTGTATTAGGGACGCGTTATATTAGGCATGCGTCGATTTAGGGGTGCGTTGTACTAGGGGTGAATGGTATTAGGAATGCGTTGTATTAGGGGTGAATTGTATTAAAAATGCGCCGAATTAGGAGTGCGTTGTATTAGGGGTGAATGGTATTGGGAATACACCGCAATAGGGAAGCGTTGCATTAGGAGTGTATTGTGCTAGAGACACGTTGTATTAAGAGTGTATTGTATTAGGAGTGCGACAAATTAGGGGTGAATTGCATTAGAAATGCACTGTAATAGGAAAGCGTTGTATTAGAGGACTATTGCACTAGGGACACGTTGTATTAGGGGTGTATTGTATCAGGCATGCGTTGTATTAGTGCTGCACCGAATTAGAGCTGCGTTGTACTAGGGATGCATTGTATTATGAGTATGCCATATTACAGACATGTATCGGGAGAATATTGTACCTGGAGAGCACTGTATCGAGAATGCGTTGTACCACGCATGTGTTGTGCCGCGCATGAGTTATACCGCGCATGCGTCGTACCTGAAATGCATTGTACTGCGCATGTGTTGTACCCGAAATGCAATGTACCGCGCATGCGTTACACCGCGCATGTGTTGTACCGTGCATGCGTCGTACCGCACACGAGTTGTACGCGTACGAGTTGTACCGCGCATGCGTCGTACCCGAAATGCACTGTACCACGGGCGCCACATTAGAAACATGGCACCGTCATAACACATTACCTGTACATCATTGTCTCAGTAAATACATTACACAGTTGCGCCGCATGACATGCTATTGCAACTCACTGATATTGCAACTCTACCAATGATTATATAATTATTTCGCATTATAAAATAGCAACGAAGTATTTAGTCATCGTTGATCCCCCATTCATCTAACTTAATAAATCTAAGCTAACTCGTTTCAAAATAGCTAACTAAATTAATCTTTTGCGCAATTCCTCAAGCAAGGAAACATTCTACAAGATGTTACGAAATGGAAATAACTCGCTGCTTAATTATAGCAAACATAGGTCGTAAGACAAAGATTGAATGCGTAGGGGAGATAGATGTCCTGGCTTAGAATACGATGAATATTCGCTGCGCTACGGAGGTGAACCTGAGAATTCATTTATGGAAATTAGTTCATCAGAAACATGTGAACGACGTTGTTGTGAAATCCTTTGTGAAATGACAAATATATTGAGGGTTCGAGAGAAAGATATAAAAGAAAAATTGAACGAAAACAAAGACGATTATCTTAATATAAGGTACTTCGTAGGAATCTCACCTTGGAGGTCAAATATTTAATAAAAGAAAATTAAAAGGTGTACGCGGTATTTTTCTCTGACTTTTGTAGTATGATAGAGAAAGATCTTTGTGTCGATCATTTTTGTTCTTTAATTAAAGAGCGTAAGTAATTGGTGCAGTGAACCTTGACTATCGAAGTTGATCACGAATCGTCGGTTCCGGCAAAAGGCGTATTAAACGGTTCAGTGTGTGATGATCATCGATGATTGTACGCTGAATAAAAGAGCGATCGGAATAAAAGGCAGATCGAACGAGATATCAAAAGGCACGGACGTGACAGGTACAAAATCGAATCGTATCTGATGTAAACTCGAAAGGCGTTGATAAAAGGTGCATTCAATCTCTTTTCTTATGGCATACAATTATAGCTCTTCTGATTATTCTAAATCTAATACAATAATTAATATATAAATGTTAACTTTTAATTAAGTTGTCTTTAACCCATAAACTTAACCTTAACATTAACTATAAGTAGTAATTTGTACCGATATCATCCCACAAATTAACGCGTGACGCAGCTGTTTAGAGCTACTATCGAATAGAAAAATGGCCGCCATTTTCGGTATATTGGCTCGCACACCAATTAGACCAAAAATGACGGTCGGCAAACGTCTCGAGATAGCGCGAATTGCGTTCAGCAGTTATGGCCATTATTCTTATTTGCCGAAATGTAACTGGAAGTGTTCACGGTGGATAGGTGGAGCGAGTGGCTTCTTTTACTCTGGCTCGACCTACGCGCCAACTCCTGGCTTGTCTACAGTAGAGACTGTGATGATCCGAGGGAACGTAGGGATTCTGGGAAGCTAGGAAATATGGCGATTCCGAGGACTGTGAGAATCTGGGGAATTCGGGAACTGTAGAGAATGTGGGGATGTGGGGACCTGGGGATCCGAGGGACTGTGGACTGTGGAGATCCTAGCGAACTTGGCACTGGAGACCGAAACTGTGGATATATAGGAAATCTAGGGGTCTGGAACTGTGGAGACTCTGGGGACCATGGGCACTCTAGGTATTTTATAGTTCCTAAGTATACATATTAAAACTTAGGAATAATGCAATCCAACCTACTCACGGACTAGTAACTTTCCATTTATCTCACCGTCCGGAGGGAACCCAACTTTCTAACCTTCCCTAAGTTTCCCTAGATAAACCTATTCTCCAATAAACACTCGAAACAACAAACTCAAAAATAATTACGTATAAATGTAAAAAATTATGAATAAGTGTGTACAGTCATTTTTAATTTATCAACTAATGTTAATTATTCTTAATCGTTTAAAAATGAAGACAGAAATGTATTAAAGGTCATCGAACGTTTTAAAGAAAACATCGAAGTATAGAAGCAGCAGTTATATCACAAGAAGTTGGTAACAAAAGAAGGAAAACAAATTCCTAAACGTTCTGAAAACGAGCTTCCTTTTGTCCGCCTCGATATATTCCATGCAAATATCCCCGACAGAATATTTGCCTTTTCAAGAGAATTCTCGAAAGAATGGACCTCGTTCGACGACACGTAACACGCTATCGATTCTGTCGCGATACGTTCCCCAGGAAATTTCTGAATAAAAGCAACCGTGAAAAGCGTGGAATGTTATATAATACTTGGATATAGGTGTCTGAAAGATTGCATATCTCGTATAAATGCACTCGAATGTCGAAGATGTGGGTCGAGGAAAACATTGACAAAGGAAAGAGAAAACAACGGGACTATTCAATATTTCTCTCGACGAATTATCAACACTTTTTTTTCTTATCGAAATATTGTGCGAACGTGTTGCGCTTCGAGGAATTATTCGACGCGTCTCGGACTGTGTATTCCTTTGACATTTTTGCTGCGATGTTGCGCGACTTTGGATATCTGAAGTTTTATGTTTGGGAATTGGGGAATTTGGGAATTTGGGAATTTGAGAGTTTGGGAATTTAAGAATTTTGGAATTTAGGGATTTGGGGATTTAGGAATTTGGGAATTTGAGAATTTAGAAATTTGAAAGTTTTGGAATTTGAGAATTTTGGAATTTAGGGATTTGAGGATTTAGGAATATGGGGATTTGAGAATTTGGAAATTTGAAAGTTTTGGAATTTGAGAGTTTTGGAATTTGAGAGTTTTGGAATTTGAGAGTTTTGGAATTTGAGAGTCTTGAAATTTGAGAATTTTGGAATTTGAGAATTTTGGAATTTGAGAATTTTGGAATTTGAGAATTTTGGAATTTGAGAATTTTGGAATTTGAGAATTTTGGAATTTGAGAATTTTGGAATTTGAGAATTTTGGAATTTGAGAATTTTGGAATTTGAGAATTTTGGAATTTGAGAATTTTGGAATTTGAGAATTTTGGAATTTGAGAATTTTGGAATTTGAGAATTTTGGAATTTGAGAATTTTGGAATTTGAGAATTTTGGAATTTGAGAATTTTGGAATTTGAGAATTTTGGAATTTGAGAATTTTGGAATTTGAGAATTTTGGAATTTGAGAATTTTGGAATTTGAGAATTTTGGAATCTGAGAATTTTGGAATTGGCGAATGTTTTAATCTTGAAAAATATGGGTCTGTAATTTTGGAATTTTTCACCTTCTCAACTTCAAAATAT